ATGTCACTGAATTCCAGTCTGAGTCTGGGTGAGAGAGTGAGACACTGTCTCCAAAAAAAAAAAAAGTCTGGAACTGCAGCGTGACATAGTCTGACCGATGCTTTTAAGGAAGACTTTGGCTTCAGTTTTGAGACTAGACTGTAATAGGAAGTATGGCAAAGGGGCAGTAGAAGACCAGTTGGGGAGTTATATTAACCAAGGTTCCCCCAAAACTAGAACCAATAGAGCATGTATATTTAAGTGTGTGTGTGTGTGTGTGTGTGTGTGTGTGTGAGAGAGAGAGAGAGAGAGAGACAGAGAGAGAGACAGAGAGAGACAGAGAGAGAGACAGAGAGAGAGAGAGAGAGAGAGAGATGGAGAGAGATTACTTAAAGGAACTGGTTCATGCAATTGTAGAAGCTAACCAGTCCAAAATCTGTAGAGCAAGCCAGCAAGGTGAAAATCCAAGTAAGAGTGGATGGTACAGTCTTGAGTCTGAAATCCATGGGACTGGACAGGCAGGGTGGAAACTCAGGCAGGATTTCTATGTTGCAGTCTTGAGGCCAAATTCCTTCTGAGACAGAATCTGTTCAATGCTTCCTTTTAGCTTCTGGCAGTTTGCTGGCAATATTTGGCATTCCTTGGCTTATACATGCATTACCCTAATTCCTGCCTTCATGTTTGCATGGCATTCTCCCTGTGCACATGTCTGTGTCCAAATTTTCTTTTTTTTATAAGAACACCATTCATACTGAAGTAGCATGGCCTTCATCTTAATAACTACATCTGCAACAACTCTATTTTCAAATAAGGTCATATTCTGAGGTACTAATCCCCAATATATATAATATATTTATGGTGTGCAAGTCAACCTATGACACAGGGTAATACTTGTGAATGTAAGAAGCTGTTGGATTTGATAAGAGAGCATAAAAAAATTGAGGGTTGGGGATATTCCAGTGTTTTTGACCTGAACAGAAATAATCAAGTTGCCATTTAGTGAGATGGCAAAGAATATAGCAGAAGGCTTGGAGGGGAAAATCAAGAGTTCATTTTGGGATATAATAAGTTTTCAAATAAAGCCTCATTTCCTACCCTAAGCCCTTCTCTTGGTTAGCAATACCACTGGGGAGGGCAGGCAGAAGACTCAGTTATCTTGGCAAAAGCAGGGCAGACAGAGGCTTTAAATATTTCCCTTGCCAGATGTACATGTCATCTAAGGAGCTCTCATTTCTGGTCCATTCCCAGCCCCTCCTTTCTCATTATCATTGCCTCTAGTACATCTTTTTATGACATCTCCACATAAGCCCTACGCATAAATAGATTTTAAAAGTTATTAAAAGAATGGATGGCCATGTGCAGTGCCTCACACCTGTAATCCTAACACTCTGGGAGTCTGAGGCAGGAGGATTGCTTGAGTTCAAGAGTTCAAGACCAGCATGAGCAAGAGTGAGACCTGGTCTCTACTAAAAATAGAAACACTAGCTGGGCATGGTAGTGTGTACCTGTAGTCCCAGCTACTTGGGAGACTGAGGCAAGAGGATCACTTGAGCCCAAGAGTTTGATGAAGTCAGAACTAATTATTAGCTGCAGAAATATTCTTTTTAACAGTTGTACTTTCACTAGGAACATTGAGATTCTAAATGAACCTTAATAATAGAACATGTTATTAATAGCTAGGTTGGCCTCAAATTAATATTAACTTGTGACTCCAACAGCCATGACCTATTTGGCTTATTTATTAATATAATGCCACCTTCCAATCTGCATGATTTATAGGCAGTGCAGGAGAAGATTTGCTTTTATAGTTCTTGAGAACTGTCAGCTAGATTCTTAGATACAAGTGGAAGAACCATGTCTCCAAATATCATAAAGTAAAATGTATAATATGGTTAAACTACAGCAAAGTGGAATTTTTAAGATTAAAGTTCAGGAGAAAGTAGGTCATTTCATGAAATTAAATCTAACTTCAAACCCCATTATAACACTTAATTTTAATTCTAAAGGTCTGTAGAAATTTTTGGTAACAAGAGTAGTTTATTCTGCGTTGCATGTTCCCTTTGTTAAATGTACTATTTAGGTGTGAAGGAAAATCTTCAATTTGCCTTTGAAAAGGATGAGACACTGTTAATATTGATTTGGGATGTGGTGATTTTCTAGTCTGCATAAAGGCTCTCTAGTCACTGTTCAACGGCCAACATGACTAACAGGGAAGTGGCCATCCGATCAGAATAAAGTATTCCCTAAGGCTTCTGGATCCCTCAGAAAGGTCCAGTGCTCTCAGGAATACAGGTTCCATGATGATTCCACCCTGTGGTTCATGTTAGTGAAACTCTGAGACTGTCATTTAGAATCTGGCCTAAAAGGAAGACAGGGTCTCTGGCATTTGGCACCCGCACCCCAGGCAGCCAAACTTCTTTCCTCAGATAACCTCTGAGGTCAAATTTCTGAGCTACCTTGATAACTCCGTGGCTCTATCCTTGCCAAGCCAAAGGAAGTCGATGGATTGATTCCAGCACCCCACACCTTTCGTGCTTCACACCCACCCCCTCATCACTGCCCGTCCCACCCCGGCTGGGTGTGACTGCATTCAGCAGGCCCCAGAGCCAGAACTGGCGGGCAGGGCAGGCAGCCCATCAGGAGCCCCGCGTGGAGAAGGGCAAACAGTGACTGTCTCCAGAGGAGCCAAGGATCCCGAGCTTTGTTTTTCTGAAATCGGACTTGGGACTTTTATTCTGCCTGAACATTTTCCATCACTGCCCTCACAAGAGTCTCTGTCTTGAAGCACAGGACCGAAGCGAAATGCCTAATGAAGCGTGTCCGAGGAAGGGGCCTGCAAGTGACTCGGGAAGAGGGGCTGGGGCGAGGCGAGAAAGAAGGGTCAAGTTACATGTTCCCACATTCTCACAAAACCATGTGAAAACTAGCTAGAGATGGCAAATTCTGGGAAAGGCCCTGGGAACCTTTCCTTTGTTCGGCCCCTCAGACTTGGGCGTGTGTCACAGGAGTGTGCCAGGCACTCAATTTCAGCACTTTTGGCTTTGTTCAAGTCCTTGTGTGAGGTCGGGAATGTCATGGGTGGGCCCAGTCAGGTATAGGTGGCCGGAGCTGGGGCTCCTTGGCTTAGGGTCTCTCTGTGGCGGTTCCTGCCCACAGAGCAGGCTTGGCGCCGCCAGCTCCCACTCCCACTGCAGCCCGAGGGGGCGTCCCCTGCTCCCCTCCCCGCAAGACCAAGGCTCCTGGGCTCTGTTGCTGGGCGCCAAGGCCAGCTAAGAGTGTTTTCCAAATCGCCCATTTCCCCACCTCAAGTGAGTTGTTGGCACTTCTCCAGAAGCCTCCCAGCTCCCAGCTCCAGCCCCGAAAATAAATGCACTTTGCCAAAAAGTGGAGGAGGAGAGGAGCATCTGAACAAGGAGAACGAAAATACCAGAACGACCCCATTCTCCAGGAAAACGTAATGAGGGGAAGTGAAACAGTATGAACTTACTCGGAAATGCAAGCCGAGTTCAACTCGCACAAGCGCATACAAATGACCCAAAGACAAATCAGCCTGAGCTCTCGACAGCTTCCCACAAGGGCCTCATGAATGAGAATGGGTTGCTAGGTTTCCTCCCTCCCTCCCGACGATCGCTTCCCACAAGACTTCCACGGGGAAAGAAAACACGCCAGGGCTGGTGACTGCAGGGCAGGGAACCGCGCCAGGCCCACGCGGCCGCCCGCGACCGCTCCCGCCTTCAGGACCCTGGAGAGCGGCCGCCGCGCCCCGGACCCACGCCCAGCCCCTCGCGCCGCGCTCCCCTCCCACACTTCGCCACCCTGGCACTGTTATTCGCTGCTCCCTGCCTCCACCTTCATTTTTTCTTGGCAACCGCCACTCTTGTTTTTCACACACAGATTAAATTGTTTTTTGTTTTGCTTGATGCTTGAGGGGGGTGTTTGGATTGGCCGAGTTAGGTTCCGGTTTGCAACTACACTCAACGTTAGTGCACCAAGAAGCCCTGAGAGGTCTCAAAGATGAGAGCCTGAACAAGGCAGGGGACTTTAAAAAGCCACTGAGTTCAATTCCCTTACTTTATAAATGAAGCACATGAACTCAAAGAATAAAGAGATATTCCTAAGGCTAGTCGTCAAGTTGGTGGCAAAGCTGAGTCTAGAACTCTGTGCTCCTGACTTATAAACCAATGCTTCCCTCCACTTTCCACTACCGCCACCTAAGCAACAACCGGAAGGTGGAAGGGCCTGTGTTCTCTAGAATGAAATGGAACCTGTGGAGTGCGGATAGGGGGTCTACAGGGTGTTCACTTGTAGTGACAGCCCCAACATGGAGTACTGGTCTCTCACTCCGCCCAGCAGATCCAGCAGATCGGCTACTCCGCCCAGCAGATCGGCTACTCCCTTTCTCCAACGAGCCTGAGGTGGGATTGGGACCCCTCAGCCTTCCTCAGCCACTATCTGAGTCTTCCCTAGACAGCTATCCCAATGGCTCTGGTAGCCAAGTCCAGCTCTGCGCCTCTGGCAGGTAGAATCCTAGGCACTTGGGAGGTGGGAAAGGACAGGTGGGACAAAGGAGGGTCAGAGGAGGGAGGGGAAGAGCAAGAGTTGCAAATGTGAACTAAGAGATTTTCATCTAGATACTAAAGAACCAAGAGATGTAAACACAGACTCTTCCACATACTGCATCTCACATTTACCGTGCACACGAATCCCCTAGGAATGTTAACATCAGATTCTGATGCAGTAGGGTGGGATGGGGCCTGAGATTCTCTATTTCCAACCGGCTTCCAGGTGTTCGTGACGCTGCTGGTCTACCGACCACAGGAGTTAAGAAAAAAGGGAGTGGGACCAGGAAAGAGGGTGAAGAGTCTAACCATAGGCCTTTCCTTGTGCTCTCACGGATACTCTCTCAGAGCCTTAAAGCAACGCCTCAGAGCGCCGTAGCAAACAGCCCATCAAAGTGGCTGGGCGCCGCAGTAACGGTGTGCTGGTTTTGTCTCTTCCCCGCCCCGTCCTCCCGCCGCCGGCCCCGCACAGCTCCCAGACTCGCCCGCCGCCCCGGAGCTGCTCGGCCTCCTTCCTAGCCCGCTCTCCAGCCTCGCGCGGAGCTTCTCTCACCTCCTCCGGCGCCCCCCTCCTGAGGCCGCCCGGCGGCGCCCGGACTTCTCCCCCCTGCGTCCCGCCCTGCCGGCCGCCTGGCTCCCGCGCGGGCGCGAGCAGCTGCCGGGCCGCCTCTCGCTCCTGCTGGGGGCAACGCTGGCGCTGCCCGGCCGACTCCCGGGGGGCACCCCGCTGACGCCCGCCGAGCCCCGGGAAGAGGACGCCAGCGCCCGGCAGAAGTCGCCCATGCCCGTGAGTACCGTGCCTTCACCACGCCCCGCACCCGGCCCCGCCGGGACGCCAGCCTCTCCCGCTTCCTCCTACCCCCACAGACCCAGGCCGCCCCGGGCAGCAGCGGGGTGGCGGGAAGGTCGGCACAGGGCTGGGCACACCCGAGGAAAGGGCGCCGGCAGCTCCCCAGCACCGCCCCTCCCCGGGAAGGCACTCTAGCCACTTTTCCAGGGGCCGGTCCCTCTCGCGGGGCGCGGGCGCGGGCGCGGGCGGGAGCCCTCACTCTTCCCCAGGCTGCTTTTCAAACTCTGCGCGCGTCGCTCTCCGCCTCCTCCTCCAGCCTCCCCCAGACGCGCCTCCGCGGCTCCTGGCGCTCGCCCTCCCACTCCTCTGCCCTCGCCGCAGCAAGGGAGGAAATGACGTGATGTTATTTTGGTGTCAGGTCAGTTCGCAGCTTCAGGTTAGCCCTCCGAGCCCCGGCGCACTGCCCCGGCGGCCCCGCCGCGGCCCACGCCCGGGGTACAGCGCGGGCCGCGGGGACAGGCGCGCTGCGCGCCTGCAGAGCTGGGCTGCTGGGTTCCTCCGCAGCCCGGTCTACACCGCCCCGGACTCTGGAGTCCCTGGAGGAGGAGGGGACGGAGAGAGGCTGCCGAGGGTCTCGGTTACCCATCCCGTAACCTCCTCGCTTGCCGGGTGCGGCCGCCGGGCTCCCGCGGCTGGGAGAGGGCGAGGACCCCTTTCCTGCGCGGGAAAACCGGAGGCGGAGGCTGCGCCTGGTGGGGCGGGGGCTGAGCTCAGAGACGCGCCTGGGGGCCGGGGAGAAGGTAGGGGGCTGCCCTCTGGAGGCGGGGCAGAACACTGGCTTGACTCGGGGGCCTGAGAGCCCCCTCCGCGCACGCCCCCACCCCAGCTCCTCCCTTCCGCTCCCTCCATTCACAAGGTCCGAGCACGCAGCTCCGCAAGTTCGAGTCTCTCTCGGCCCCCGCGCGCCCAGGCGCGGTGATGACCGAGGGGCTCCGCAGACGCCCTCAGCTTTGGCCTGGCTTCGCACCCACACTCTCGGTACTTCCTAACCCGGGCCAGAGGAGTGGGGCTGCGGCCTGCGCGTGGGTCGCGCTCGCGTGGGGCCTCGGGGGTTCCCCAGCCCAGCCGCGGTGTAGTGCGCCGCCGCGGGCGGGAGGCGACACCCGGGATTGCCCAGCCGAGTGAGGAGGCGTGAGGGGGCGGGGAGGAGGCAGAGCCGGGGGAGGAAGAGGGAGGAGAAGGCGCGAGCGACGACGGGGGAAAGCCTAGGCGAGCAATCTCGGCGTAGTAAAGGCAGCGCTCGGCTTTGTAATAGGAATAAGGCGCACGCGGCACGCATGCGCATGGGCGACGGAGGCGAGCCGGCCGGAGATTTCCCCGCGGCCGGCGGGGTGGACGGTGGGGTCGTGAGTATCCCGCTTCCTCAGCACCTCCTCCTTCCCCCGGACTCGCCGAGGCCTCGGGCCGGGCAGCGGCGGGAGCCGGCGCGGCGTGCATGCCCGGGGACCTCCGACTCCAGTAGTCGCTGTGGCCGCCGGAGCGGTGCCGGTCGGTCGCTCCCTCCGGGGGCCCAGCCCCTCCGGTAGTCGGTGCCTGTTTGGGGGCGGGTGTGGGCTCAGGGTGTGTCTGTGTCCTAAGGGGGCGTCGAACCCCCTGGGTCAGTTGTTGCCGGGTCCGCCGGGGCGTCCGCGATGCCACCTCCGTGGGAGGGGGATTGTGACTGGGTGGGGGAAACCTGAAATTCCCGTTGCCCACCCGAAGACGCGTATTCTGGAAGCTGCAGGCGAGCGGAAGCGTCGGCGTTCTCCGTGCATGCGGGGAAGCCCTGAGGACGGGCCGGACGCCCGAGGCGGGCGGTTCGAGCGCAGGTGGGAGGGAAAATCGACGCGCCGGGACGCGCGGTGCCTCCCTTTCGGAGAAGTGCGGCCCAGGTGAGGCCCGGAGGAGCAGGGCCGGGAAGTGGGTGTCCCGCACGTGGACCCTGGAGAGGCCGAGTGGGAGTCGCTGTTTACCCAGAGCCTCTCTTCGCCTGCTTGAAAACCGAATGGGCAGAATTGTCCCCCGCCCTTTGCCTGTGCCAGGGCGGTTGAGGTGCGGGCGCCGTGGGGATTTCCTTGAACCGTCCGGGAGCTTGCTCCTCCACACTCTGGGAGCTGCGCTTGGGAAGTTGGAATGAGTCTGGGCGCCCGGGCTGCAGACTTGGACGGGGTCGGTGGGGTGGAGAGGCGTTGGAGGGGACGGTCTGTGTGCGGGGCAGCGTTGCGCGAGTGGACAGGTTAGGGACCTTTAAGGGGGCGGCTCTCCTGGACGGGGTGGGCTGCTGGGAGTCTCCATGCAAGGCGACCTTCCCCGACCCAGCTCTAGCGGAGGAACAGTGCGGGTGGGGGCTTGGGAGAAGCAGCTCGCCAGGCCGGGGTGGGTGTTGGGGTGAAAGTGTGTGCGTCGCTGCTGGAGAAGTGGGGGAGGGAGAGGGCAGGCTTTGGAGGGGATCGCTGTGTGCTGCAGCACCCCTCCCCCGCGCTTGTGAGGGAGTGTGTGGAGGGAGAGCCTTGGGAGAGGAGGTGCGTGGGGACCGTGATGGGTCCTGAGCTTTCGGGACTTGCCAGCATCGAAGAAAAACCCGGGCGAGTGGCTTGGGCCAGCAGCGACCCCAGCAGCAGGCGGGGGCTGTGGTGAAGTGCTCAGGGCCAGGCGAGGGGGACCCCGGGGAGAGCAGCTGCTGCCCCTGCGCCGCCGGTGGTGGACTGGGGAAGTGAACGTGGTGGTACGAGATTTCTCTGTGGAAGGAAGAGAGTGCTAGAAGGAAATCTTGATTTCCTTTCCTTCTCAGAATTTGACAGGCCAATCGTTCCTTGTTGACTCCACTCCACCCCCACTCCCAGCTTCCTGGCTGCGGTTCGCTAGTTGTAGGTGTAGCAACCCGAGCCAGCACCTTCCACTCCAGCAGGAGCCTCTTCCCCACTAGCTAGCCACAGTCACCTGCCCACAGGGCCTGCGCTTTGCCCCCGAGTGTGGGGAGCAGGGAGCTTCCGCGTCAACCTTCAGTCACCCTCCTGGGGTCATCACCTCTACTCCCAGGCACAGGTAGCAGGGCCCTTGTATAGCTTGGCTTCATTTCTAGTGGTTCCAGAGAATGGACTTGACTAAACAAATGTCCAAGTTCTGGAAATGTCTGACTTCCTCCCAGGCTTGATAAGGACATTTGTAATGAAATTAATGAAATCTAAGTTCTTAGGCACACCCATGATGGCCATTTACTATTTTTGTTGAAACAGTTTTGCTCAAAGTCTAATTTTCTGTTGGCTTTCATCCTGTTTATCTTCTGTTCATTAAGTGGCACCTTTTGTATCACATATTAGTAACCCAGGTGAGAGACAATATTGCCTATTAGGTAAGAGCCTTGAGCTCTGTAACCGTCTGGGTTCAAAGCCGAACCTAGCTGTGGGACCTTAGACTAGTTACTTAATCTTGTGCCTCAGTTTTATCATCTGTAAAATGGGAGTAATAAAAGTACATACCTCATACAGTAGCTGCCAGCATTCAATAAATTAATAGAGGCTGGGCTCAGTGGCTCACGTCTGTAATCCTAGCACTCTGGGAGACTGAGGTGGGAGGGCCGCTCAAGGTCAGGAATTCGAGACCAGCCTGAGCAAGAAGCAAGACCCAGTCTCTACTAAAAATAGAAAGGAATTAATTGGCCAACTAAAAATACATAGAAAAAATTAGCCAGGCATGGTGGCACATGCCTATAGTCCCAGCTACTCAGGAGGCTGAGGCAGGAGGTTCGCTTGAGCCTAGGAGATTGAGGTTGCTGTGAACGAGGCTGATGCCACGGCACTCTAGCCCGGGCAACAGAGTGAGACTCTGTCTCAGAAAAACAAAACAAAAAAATACATAAATGAATACAGTTCTTGTGACTGGATGGATGGCACATACCAAGCAAAAACTATTCTTACTGTTACTATATTGATGCTAAATTGGCTAAGTAGACTTCAAAATATAAAAAAGTTCAGGAACAAAATGCTATAATACAAAGAGTACACATGATGAAATAGATATTCATCCTTAAAATTAGAAAAAGTGAATTTTATTTAAGAAAATCTGGAAACTTACCTTAGGAACTAGAAGTGCTAAGCTTTGTGAGATCACCTGAAATATTTTTTT